GAAATAGGGTTTCAATATGTAGCCTGGGCCTCCAATTTCTGTGCTCAAGTGATCTTCCTGCCTCAGCCTCCCTACAAGTAGCTATAAAGAATTATGAATTTTGTTATTTAAATTTTACCATATTAAAAAAGCATTTCATGCATTATTATTTTTAAAACACACTGTAAGAAAATATACCAAAATACTAATACTACTTACCTCTGAGTGTTCACAAGTAATTTATGGGGGTTTTTTTTGCTGATTTTTTTTATTTGAATTAGAAACAAGATTGTTTTACATGACAATCCTAGTTCCCCTCTCCCTCCCCTTCCCCACTTCCACTCCTACCACCTTCTCCCTCCCCCAACTAAAACCCTACCATATCCTTTCTGCCCCCCCGGCTGGTGGGGCCTTCCATAGGGTGTCATCAGAGTCTATCATATCCTTTGGGATAGGGCCTAGGCCCACCCCCATGTGTCTTGGCTCAGGGAGTATCCCTGTATGTGGAATGGGCTCCCAAAGTCCACACCTCTGCTAGGGATAAGTACTGATTACTACAAGGGGTCCCATAGATTTCTGAGGTTTCTTCACAGAAACCCACGTTCCAGGGGTCTGGATCAGTCCCATGCTGGTATTCCAGCTATCAGTCTGGGGAGCAAGAATTCCCCGATCAGGTCAGCTGTTTCTGGGTTTCACCAGCCTAGTCTGGACCCCTTTGCTCTTCACTCGTCCTTCTCTGCAACTGGTTTTCTTTTGTTTTGATCTTGTCAGTATGTTTTGATATGTGACCAGGGCTGGCCTCAAACTACCAATCTCCCAGTCTTGACCTCTGAATTCTGAGATCACAGGTGTGCACTATCACACTCAACATTATTCTATATTATTTTTCTAAAATTCTAACTTTCCTTACTGTCATTTTTTTACATACTGACTTTTATAATATGTAAATTAAGACACTTATGATATTTTAAACTTTTTTAAAAGATAAGATTTTGGTGTGTTGCCCAGGCTGGCACATAACTCCAGAGCAAAGCTAGCCTCCTCCTCAGCCGTAGAGTAGCTCCAACTACAAGTCCATGTGCTTAACACAAAGGGCTTTTGCTTTTTCCAATAATGAAATTTACATTTTGCACTTTTTAAAACAAAAGGGTCTGTGAAGTCTTTGGGAATTTCATACAATGTATTTTGATGTTGATTTTTCCCTAAGTCCCCACACACCCACCCCATCTCCCCACCCACCCAACCTCCCAACCCCCAAACGTCCATTCCCCCACAGGTCCACACCAAATCCAGTTTATGCTGACCTACTAACTAGTGTGGTGCCTGTCCCAAAGTGTGATCAATAGACCCACATTCGTACCACTAAAGAAAACTGATTTTCTCACAACAGCTACCAAATCCTCCTCAGCTGGGGTGGGACTTCATGCCCACCTCACCCTCTCCATGCTTGGATCTGTGTGGCTTGAACTCCCTCATGTCTTAAAAAGTATGCTGTCAGCCGGGCAGTGGTGGCGCACGCCTTTAATCCCAGCACTCGAGAGGCAGAGGCAGGCAGATCTCTGTGAGTTCGAGACCAGCCTGGTCTACAGAATAAGTTCCAGGACGGCCTCCAAAGCCACAGAGAAACCCTGTCTCCGGGGAAAAAAAAACAAACAAACAAAAAAAAAAGTATGCTGTCACAACTGCTCTGCATTCCTGGGTACAGAAAACAGTTCTCTGCAAGTAAACCACCGCCTCTGGCTCTTCTAATTACACATTATTTTTTAAGTGTTTTATCATTTTTAAGTGGTAAATACATTTTTCCAAAATAACTCAAGAATATATAATTTTTTGCCAGGCGTTGGTGGTGCACGCCTTTAATCCCAGCACTCGGGAGGCAGAGGCAGATGGATCTCTGTGAGTTCGAGACCAGTCTGGTCTACAACATCGAGTTCCAAGATAGCCTCCAAAGCCATAGAGAAACCCTGTCTTGAACCCCCCCCCCAAAAAAAGGAGATATAATTTTTAAAAGTCTTCCTCAAATGTGAGTCCCTGGGTGGAATCCTCGGTTTTTCCCTCAACCCAGATTTCCATCCCACAGAAACTGTTACTAGTAATCTGTTCTCAATATTACATCCTGGTTTTGCAGACAGTACCTCTCATTTGCCTCTGTATTATTGCCTGTGTCACAAAACTTGGCTCATGGAAGGAATCAAGTAGATAAACAGTAAAGGTCGAATTAAATTAGTTGACAATAGAAGAACGATTAAAAGGCATAATGTATCCTTAAACAGAAGGCAGACAGAGAATGGATACCTTGGCTGGCAGAAACAGGACTAGCTCTCTAGACAGATGGTGAAGGGCAATGTGGACAGTTGTAGACTATTTAGAAATTCCTATGATGGAATCCCTATCATTCCTCATAGGAATTTCTTAACATTGTTATGACTGCTAAGTCATCTATCGTCTTCTCACTACTGTACCCCAACTCTTTATATTATTACATCTGCTTATCACGACCCATCTATATTGTCCCAACTTTTTTGGTTGTGCTGGGGATTAAATGTAAGGCCTCCCTCATACAAAATTGTCATTTCCTTGTTAGTCATTTAGGCAAGAAAAACTTTAAAAAAAGAAATATAGCTAAATATAAATATACTAAATTTACTTATTTGGGGAAATATGGAAAAGAGACCTTAAATTTTCTCGGCTACATCTTTAATATAAAGATCTCATTAATTTGCAGGTAGCACAACACTTAAATTCCTGTAGCCATTAAAGTTCCCTATATATTGGTAAGTGAAATAAATACATCACTAAAAGCTAAAATAAACAAAACACTCCCATCGTCTTAGTGTAACATCAGATTACAAGAAAGCCTAAGAAGGAAAAAGAAAAGTATATGGTAAAAAATTTTTTTAAAAAAATGATTTACTGGAGAATCCCTCAACTGGGTGTGGTAGCATATGCCTGAATCCCAGCACTCACGGGTCAGAGGCTCGGTGCCATCTGTATAGCTTTTAAACAACCTAGTGAATTTCAGAACAGTCAGAGCTGCATAATGAGACCCTGTCTCAAAAGCACTAAACAAATCCTCCCCCTCCCCCTCCCTCTCCTTCTCCACCACCACCACCACCACTACCACCACCACTGGGAGGGAGTGTGTAATGATGCCATCTGTGACTCAGAACTCCTACAGAAGACAAGGACGTGTCTTCACGTTTGAATGTTTGCAGCTAACTAGCCTAGCCTGTGCCTCACAGCAGCAGAAAGGAAACACCCTCCTCAACAAGGTGGAAGGGAACTGTTCCTCCCTTCCCTCTCCCCACCACACACATATACACATACAATTTAAAAAATTATTTAAAATTATTTAAAAGCTGTTTACCTAAAGAACTGCTTAAAGCAACAAGACACTGGAAACTCTTAAAACAGGAAGTTCAGGATCTTGAATTCAAGTCATGATAAAGGAAAAATCTCTCAGACTATAAAAGCGTGAGGGCTGAATACTGGCAATGAATTTAAGAGGAATCGAAGGAAGAACCAAGAAGAGGATGCTGGTTAATAAGCATACCTGAAGAAGAAGAAAAAGAAACAACCAAATCTGCCTGTAATCCCAGCACTTGCAAGGTAGAGGCGAGCTAATGAGCAGCTGGAGACCCACCTGGGGCAGAACAGCTGGAGGCCACCTGAGCTACAGGAGACCATCTGAAACACCACTCAAAAATGTTCCCCTCGAGTCCACAAACAAAAGAAGGGGCTCATGAAAGGCTCCCCTAAGTGCCAGAGCTGGAAAACCCGGAGCAGATGAGAAGCATAAAACTAAAGCTGCTCATCACAAAATTTAACCTCTCGAGTTCAAATCAGTGCAAAGTTACCATGCCAATAAGAAAAAGCACTAAAGGAGACGAAGCCTGCCTTCCAGATATTTGTAAGTGACAGTCATAAATAAATCCACAAGTCCTTAAAGAATAAAAACAGGAGACAGGAGGCTGAGGTCGTGATACAATGTATAAGTGATACAATGTATAAGTGAACAGTAATATGTACATGAATAAAAACAGAAAAAAATAAGTTTCAAATACACTTCCCATGAATCACGTGTTCTAAAAAACAGCAGCAGTTTTGTGTTCAAAGAATAAAATTTTAGTAACTAATGATTATAAAATTTCTACACACAGCCAAATTTGTCAACTAAGTATGAAAATGAAGTACACTATTACACATGTAAGAACTTAGAATGTCTACAACCTAAAGCACACAGTCACCAAGTACACACACAATAAGTGAAATAAAAAAAAAGTTTTAATTGAAGTTATACTGCTAATGGCTGGGAATGCAGCTCGATGTAATACCAACCAAACACTCAATGTCTTAGGGTTTTGTTTGTTTGTTTTGGCATTTTCTAGATAGGGTTTCTCTGTGTAGCCTTACCTGTCCTGGAACTCGATCTGTAGACCAGGCTGGCCTCAAATTCACAGAGATCCATCTGCCTCTATCTCCCCCCCACACCCCACCCCCAGTGCTGGGATTAAAGGCATGTGACACTAAGGCCCATCTGTCTTAGGATTTTTTAATCATCATATTTACTTACTTATTGTATGTATGGGTATGGTTGTACCACAACACATATATAATAGTCAAAGGATTCAGTGTCTCTTCCCATCTTATGGGTCTCAGGGACTAAACTTAGATACCAGGCTTAGCCACAAGAATCTTTACCAGCCTCTACCTCCTACTGCAACCCAAAGCCTTAGGTTTGAGCCTGAGCAACAGAATAAAATAAAAAGGGTTATGAGTTCTGTTTACTTCTGAGAAGCGAAGGGAAGCTGGAAACACAGTAAAAAGGAAAGCTTTTACATTTTATGTACAACTGCACTGATGAAGGTTTTGTATATACAATTGTTTTCAATAATTCTAAAAGAATAAAAATGAAAGTATTTCCACTAAAAGATCAACAAATGACACTGGCTCTGTAAGTTTTTCCTATTAGTCATGTGTGACTGCATAATGAAATTTCAATCAATGATAAATCACAAAGACTGGTGGTCCGGTAACACAGTGGAGTTGACAACTTCCTATTACCTAGGGACACCACTGTAGTGCAATGCAGCACAACACACACAGCAAACTTTGTCAGAGATAACTGTAAATATTTAACATCTAGACCAGTGAGTGGCTGTCAACCTGAGGGTCACAACCCTCTTGGGGCCGAACAAGCTTTTCACAGAGGATGCCTATGGCCATCAGAAAACACAGATGTTTACAAGACTCCTAACAGTAGCAAAATTACAGTTATGACGCAGCAATGAAAATGTAATTTTATGACTGGAGTCACCACAACGTGAGCAACTGTATTAAAGAGTCGCAGCATCAGGAAGGCTGAGAACCGCTGGCCTAGACAGAAAGGTAAGTTCTTAGTTGCTGGAAAACTAGATTATAGTTGTGGGGTTTTGTTGGAAAGGATTGACTGGTTTTGGAGGTGGTAAGGGTAGTTGCTGAGAAACATGCAGTGTCACTCTGTAACCCAGACTGCCCTTGAACTGGGGATCATCCTCCACTGCCTGAGTGCTGAGCTAACAGGCAATTATCACCACAGCAGCACGGGTTATTTTCAAAATGACTGCTAAATGAGCTCAAGGGGCAGAGGCAGTGAGGTGGCTCACAAGGTTAAAGGCACTTGCCTCAGAGCCTGACAACTTAGAGTCCATCCCAGGAGCCACATGGTAGAAGGAATGCAAGAAGCATGCCCATGTTGTTCTCTGACCCCACACATGCACTGTGGCACCTGTACTCACAAACACACACACACAATATTTTTTTTTTTTTCTTTAAGGGGTCAGGAGTTAAAGGGGCCTTTCTGTGGCCCTTCAGAAAGGCCTGAGTTCAGTGACTAGCACCTATGTCGGGTAGCTCAGAACCACCTGTAACTCTAGCTCTATAGAACCCCAGGCCTTCCTCTAGTCTCAGGGCACCTAAATAGACAATATATATATATATATATATATATATATATATATATAAAGAAAGACTAAAAGAAATAAATGAAAAATATTAT